TCGAAAGGCTTGCGAATCATCGAAATTCTGGCTACTTGATAAACTGTCGCGCAAGGATCTTTCTGGAACTGTTTGTCAATTACGATTTTTTCTTGAGGAGATCAATAGGCCGAAAGGGTAAGTAGCTTTAGCAGGGGTACTACTAGGGACCCCGCGCTTTGAAGGGGACTACAGTGCTAGTAGAGGGCACTTTCCACCCCTCCGTGCCTCAGACAGTAAAATTATAGAAACAGGACAGTACTCTTCCCCGCATTCACCCACGTGTCACCAGTTTCCATGCCAACTACTGTACTAGACAGCTGACCAACCGTGCGCAACTGTTTTCTGTCTCTTCTGCCAAATCGAGTCCACTATCTGGGTGGCTCGGCTGCCACACTGTTCCGAAATCTGCAAGGCTGCTGTTTCGCGCCCAAAATTCGAAACACAGGCCAGCAAGGCAGACGGAAACGGAGTAGCACTCCGTCAGGTCTTTCGTGTGACTATTTCCGTCAGGGGATTTAGACACATATTATAGAAACGCGGTTTTGTACATGGGCAATAAAAATAAAAGTCTCAAATTGGATAAATGGTTGATTCATTTAGATGAATATGAATATCGTGATAGGAACTGAGGGTCTCGGGTTTAGTAGTGGGTCTGTCAGAATGTTATCTTATGCTCTAGCCTGTAGTGGGGTGCTCTATAGCGAGTACAACCCTTCTTGGGTTTGCTATTTGTATCCCCATTCTTGCTAGTGCAATCCTCTTCTTTCTTCTAAACTTAACATGCTATCAGAGCAGGTCGATCCCCTTGGATCGATCCTGTGGGTGGGTTACCACCTCCTCGCTTCCGCTGCAACTACCTTTCACTACTCTCTGAGCCGCACGCCCCCTGGCGTGCGGCACTTTTTCTTCCCGCCGTGCGCCCCGAGGCGCGCGGCGGTTTTCTGCCCGCCGTGCGCCCCGAGGCGCGCGGCGGTTTTCTGCCCGCCATGCGCCCCGAGGCGCGCGGCGGTTTTCTGCCCGCTGTGCGCCCCGAGGCGCGCGGCGGTTCTCTACCCGCTGTGCGCCCCGAGGCGCGCGGCGGGCTTTTGCCCCGTCGTTCGCCGCGTTGCCCTCTGGAGGCGCCGCGACGGGCGACGGGGACCCGTCACGGCGCACCGAGGGCACGCGCCTCGGCCCCGTCGCCCTACCTGCGCCCCGGCCCCGGCCCCGCCTGCGGCCCCGGCCCCGACGCCCTACCTGCGCCCCGGCCCCATCGCCCTACCTGCGCCCCGGCCCCGGCCCCTCCTGTGGCCCCTTTTCCCGTCGCCTGTCGAGGCGACCCTCGGGGGCCGCTTGCGAGGACTTACCTGGGGGAGGGGGGTGAGCGCCGCCCCTTCTCCTGCCCGTCTTGGCGCCCTGGGAGGCCACGCGTCGGTTCCCCCCCCCCCCCCCCCCCCCCTCCCCCGTAACCTCCCTACCCGCCATCCCGCCCTGCCTGTGTTAGGGTTTGGGGAGTGGCGAGTAGGGGGTGGCGAGTATGGGGGTGGCACTTCTGCATTCCTCCCTTTGCTCCTCCTCCTCCTTTGTCTCCCACTGCTGCAGCTGTCGCTGAGGGGGGTGGATGTGTGGGAGACTGGGGTTTAGGGTTTAAGGGGGGTGCGTGGGAGTGGAGCTAGCGGTGTAGCAGCGGGTGTGTGCCAGGGGGAGTGGGATAGTTTGGGGAAGCTGAATGGAGGTTGCCGTCGTGTCGCCAGCAGCACCTGTATTCCGGGGACTTCGTCCGGTAGCCCAGTCGTAGCCAGCTGTGCCAGCCGCCCGTGGGTCCGTTGCTCGTCTGCCGCTACTTTAGCCGCGGGGCCTGTTACTCCTGTATTCCGGGGACTTCGTCCGGTAGCCGCTGTGCCAGTCTGCCTCCTGTTGCCCGTGTGTCTGCAGCTTCAGTCGTCGCCTCCTATCTCCTCTCCTCTCACTCTCTCTCCTCCTCCTCGCTTGCCCGTTGTGACTACCACTAGCTTTGCTCATAATTGTACCCTTTAAACTATTGCTTCTTGAACTTGTGCTCAGAATGTGTGGTGACATTGTGATCCACCCTGAGCTTGTACTGCTTTGCTTCCTCTGCTGATTACACCCCACTTTGGCTATGGGGGTGTGTCAGAATGTTATCTTATGCTCTAGCTTGTAGTGGGGTGCTCTATAGCGAGTACAACCCTTCTAGGGTTTGCTATTTGTATCCCCATTCTTGCTAGTGCAATCCTCTTCTTTCTTCTAAACTTAACAGGGTCCTCTATCTTCTTAATGCCCACTTGTAATAAAGCATACGGTGGTAGGTATCTGTATTTAAAATCGTGATTTCATTTAAAAAAATTCATATGCTTACCACAACAGGAGACTCCACGAAACGACGAAAGAGACCCTGCATATAGACCCTAAGCACACTTTCTTAGGGGGTACGCTTCTCATTTAGTATATTTACAACTGCATATGCATTTATTATGGCCTATAAGACAATGGACCAACAAGGACACTAAACAACAAAGGGTGATATGAATGTCTATCCTTGTACAGGTTTGACCCGTTTTTTAACGATTGCTTTAGTACCAACGCTGCGGAGATTAACTCTACAACGGCGGGAGCTAGACTACAGGGTCAGCACGAGTTGTTACAGTGATCGTAGCTCTGTCTGTGTTCTCTAGGACTTGTGTTTTCACAGGGTAAAACAGCAAAAGTTGTCAGAATCCCAACCACTAGACCATTGGGATAAAAGGGCTTGTTTCAGTAGCGGGTCAGTGCCCCCATAACCCCCCAGGGCAAATGCGCCTGTAACCCCCCCTAGGATCGATCGGGGATCTCACAGTGTAGCTCTACTGACACCCCTCCACACTGGGAGGCCCAGGACTGAGCACAGTGGCAACGGCCAACATGTGCATACACTGGGATTCGAACCCGAGACCGCTCTGATACCATGTCAGAATCCCAACCACTAGACTATTGGGATAAAAGGGCTTGTTTCAGTAGCGGGTCAGTGCGCCCATAACCCCCCAGGCAAACGCGCATGTAACCCCCCCTATGATCGATCGGGGATCTCACAGTGTAGCTCTACTGACAAAAGTTTCACTAAGGAAAAGTTGAGAATACAGAGTTCAGAATGATAGCAAGCAATGGCAAAGATTGACTAGAGCACATGCAAGGTTTGCTAGTGCTCAGGCAGGTCGTTCGCCAGGACGACAAAGTCGTCGACCTGCCAACATATCATCTCCACGGCCCGCCAACGCAGCTTGTGTGCGACTTGCCAACGCTGCAGAATGGCGGCCTACAAACGCTGCACCCGCGCGGCTTGCCAGTGTTGCACCCGCGCGGCTTGCTAATGCTGCATCTGCGTGGCTTGCCAGCACTGCATCTGCAGGTGATTGTAAGCGCATGTGCGAGCACCTACTTCGCAGGTGCTTGTAGACAGTTTTGCACAATGTGCATTGTCGAGCACATTGCGCAGGCTGTCAGCCACATGCTGACGGTTGCACTTGATGAGCCACGTCGACCACGTGCTGCCACGTCGCTCGACTTCGCCACAGCAACCTCGACGACGTTCCCGACCCTCCGCAGAACCTCGTCGAGCAGGTAACTCGGTCAACAAGGTAAAGTCCTTGACAACCCTGCAGGATGATGATCTTCGTCGTCGCGGGTCGAGGACCTTCGTCGTCGCGGGTTGACGACCTTCGTCGAGCACCTTCGTTGAACACCTCGGTTGACATTTCAAAATGCCAGCTCCTGATTGGTCGAAATTAGGGCACATTTGAATTTCTGGCCAAAATTCGCCTGTGCAGTCTCAAGGGTGCGGAGGGTCAGACGCGACCCTGCACAGACGAACACCCGCGAACCTCTGTACGAGTTGCGCCACTTGTACATGTGCACAAGACTTCTGTGTTGCACTCGCGGATGCTTAAGTTACTCTTGCATGGATTCCCTAGTACACCTCGTGTATAAGCAACCCTCGTACACCTGCAAAAGGTCTGCTGCACCTCCCGCACACCCGACCACGAAGTCAGTTTTGTTTATGCGAGGGCGGGGCCAAATTCCTTCAACAAACGCAAGTCATATGCGTTTGATTTCAAAACTGGGCAGCAACTCCTAGATTCACATTATTGGCTTGTGGTATTAAGAAACGCGTATAGATGGACACATAGTTGGGCCTATAGGTATCAAGAAACCGGGCTAAAAAAAAAAGGGCCCTAGTCAGCTGAGAGTGATAAAATTAGCTTTCCTGTAACACATTTGACCCCAAATGCGCACCGACACTTGATTACCTATCCAAATCAATTGCGTATCATGTCCAAACTTGACAGCCTCACCAAGACACATAGTCGGAGCTATTGGTATTAATAAACGGGAGCTATAAACTTCAGAGGCTATATGAATGGCTATACTTGAACAGCTTTGGTCCGTTATGCACAGTAAGGCTTGATTACCTATGCAAATCAATTGCGATTCATCTCAAAATTGGACAACCTCACCTAGACACATAGTAGGATCGATTGGTATAAAAAAAGGCCCTAGTCAGCTAAGAGTGATAAAATTAGCTTTCTTGTAACACATTTGACCCCTTATGCGCACTAACGCTTGACTACCTATCCAAATCAATTGCGATTCATGTCCAAGCCGGACCGCCTCACCTAGACACATAGTCGGGGCTATAAGTATTAATAAACAGGAGGCATAAAGAATATAGGGCCCAAAATTGCAGAGGTGATAGGAAGGGCTATCCGCAAGCAATTTTGACCCCTTCCAGGCACAAACGCATGATTTCCTATGCAAATCATTTGCGACTCATCTCAAAACCGGACAGCCTCACCTAGACACATTGTTGGATCGATTGGTATTAAGAAACGGTTGTGAATAAATCAAAAAGGGCTTCATACAACTGAGAGTGGTATGAGTGGCTAACCATGAACATATTTGACACGTTCTACGCACAGACGACTGATTACCTATGCAAATCAATTGCGATTCATCTCAAAACTAGACAACGCCACATAAACGCATAGATGGGGCTACAGGTATCAAGAAAAAGGGCACTCAAGTACTGAGAGCGATATAAATGGCTTCCATTGAACAATTCTCTCACTCTCTCTCTTTCCCCTCCCCTCTCTCTCTCTCTCTCTCTCTCTCTCTCTCTCTCTCTCTCTCTCTCTCTCTCTCTATAACTCTCTTTCTCTCTCTCACCTCTCCCTCCCTCTCTCTCTCTCTCTCTCTCTCTCTCTCTCTCTCTCTCTCTCTCTCTCTCTCTCCCTCTCTCTCTCTCCTTCCCCTTCCTCTTCTCCTTCCTCTTCTCCTTCCCTTTCTCCTTCCCCTTCTCCTTCCCCTTCCCTTTCTCCTTCCCCTTCTCTTACCCCTTCTCCCTCCCCTTCTCCTTCCCCTTTTCCTTCCCCTTCTCCTTCCCCTTCTCCTTCCCCTTCTCCTTCCCTTTGTAGTTTAGTGAACGTTGGTTATTCAAATTCCATGTCTTCTCCTTCCTCTTCTCCTTCCCCTTTTCTTCTCCTTCCCTTTCTCCTTCCCCTTTTCTTACACCTTCTCCTTACCCTTCTCCTTCCCCTTCTCCTTCCCCTTCTCCTTCCCCTTCTCCTTCCCCTTCTCCTTCCCCTTCTCCTTCCCTTCGTAGTTCAGTGACCGTTTGTTATTCAGATTCCATGCATTCTCCGTCCCCTTCTCCTTCCCCTTCTCCTTCCCCTTCTCCTTCCTTTTGTAGTTTAGTGACCGTTTGGTATTCAAATTCCATGCCTTCTCCTTCCTCTTCTCCTTCCCCTTCTCCTTCCCCTTCTCCTTCCCCTTCCCTTTCTCCTTCCCCTTCTCTTACCCCTTCTCCTTCCCCTTCTCCTTCCCCTTCTCCTTCCCCTTCTCCTTCCCCTTCTCCTTCCCCTTCTCCTTCCCCTTCTCCTTCCCTTTGTACTTTAGAGAACGTTGGTTATTCAAATTCCATGTCTTCTCCTTCCTCTTCTCCTTCCCCTTTTTCTTCTCCTTCCCTTTCTCCTTCCCCTTCTCTTACACCTTCTCCTTCCCCTTCTCCTTCCCCTTCTCCTTCCCCTTCTCCTTCCCCTTCTCCTTCCCCTTCTCCTTCCCCTTCTCCTTCCCTTTGTAGTTTAGTGACCGTTTGTTATTCAGATTCCATGCATTCTCCTTCCCCTTCTCCTTCCCCTTCTCCTTCCTTTTGTAGTTTATTGACCGTTTGGTATTCAAATTCCATGCCTTCTCCTTCCTCTTCTCCTTCCCCTTCTCCTTCCCCTTCTCCTTCCCCTTCCCTTTCGCCTCCCCCTTCTCTTACCCCTTCTCCTTCCCCTTCTCCTTCCCCTTCTCCTTCCCCTTCTCCTTCCCCTTCTCCTTCCCCTTCTCCTTCCCCTCCTCCTCTTCCTCCTCCTTGTCATCCTTCTCATCTTGCCGTCCATCTCTCCTTCCCTCCCTCCTCTCTCTTTCTCTCTCTCCCTCCCTCTTTCTCTCTTTCTCTCTCGCTCTCGCTCTCGCTCTCTCTCTCTCTCTCTCTCTCTCTCTCTCTCTCTCTCTCTCTCTCTCTCTCTCTCTCTCTCTCTCTCTCTCTCTCTCTCTCCCCCCCCCCCCCCCCCTCTCCCTCTCTCTCTCTAGCGGTCCTTGTATTGAGATACGTGATATACGGGTAAGTACAAACATGCAGGAAATAGAGGAAATTAGCACCTTTAGAGAATACAAACAACTTAGCAACAAAAATGCAAAGGTGTGATCCCCCTGCTGAATAAAGAATGCGTAGTTGTGGGTAAGGATAGGGTGGTGTGCTTGCTACAAGGTGGTGGTGTGTGATATACTTCTGATGTGAAACAACAATGGGTCATTTTCATAACATAGTTCTTTTCAGAGTTGCACATTAGAGTGATGACATGCATCCATGAACAAATACCACAACATCTATTCTGGAGAAAAAGACCACAAAGTTTCCATTGCACCCTAATTTCTCAAAAATCATGACACTCATTCAGTACAGGATCACAGCAGGGAGTGGGAGCAGGGAGTTGTAGCAGGAACCGAAAGCATGGAGCGAGAGCAGGGAGTGGTTGCAGGGAGTGGGAGGTGGTCGGCAAGGCTTTGTTTCGTACGTTGTGATGTGTCAACAATGAATCAAGACCATATTCTAGTTTCACAAGGTTCACCATTGTTGCTGCAGCGAAGAGGAATGCAACCACAACCCTGCATGTTGCTGCTGCTATTGCTGATGCATTCGTTGCACTGTCTTCTGCTGCTCCTGTCATTGCTGCTGCAATCGTTCTGTTGTTTTTACTTTGTTACAGATGCTCCTGTCATTGCTGCTGCTGAGATTAAGGCCACTGATGGTGGTTTTGGTCTTGGTTTTGTTGTCGCAATACCTGCAGCAGTTGCTCCAGAAGTAGCCCAACACCATGCTGCTGTTGTGGCTGGCCAATCTCATGTAGCTCTCCCTGCTGCTGCTGCCCTCCCTGCTGCGCATTCTGCAGCAATTGCTGCAGGAGCAGCATCATTTGCTGCCCCTGCTGCTGCTGCTGCTGCTGTCCCTGGCACTCCTGCTGTCCCTGCTGCTGCTGCTGTCCCTGCTGCTGCTGCTGTCCCTGCTGCTGCTGCTGTCCCTGCCGCTGCTGCTGTCCCTGCCGCTCCTGCTGTCCCTGCTGCTGATGCTGCTCCTGCTGTCCCTGCCGCTCCTGCTGTCCCTGTTGCTGATGCCTATGCTGCTGTCCCTGCCGCTCCTGCTGTCCCTGCCGCTCCTGCTGTCCCTGCCGCTCCTGCTGTCCCTGCTGCTGCTGCTGTCCCTGCCGCTCCTGCTGTCCTGGTTGCTGCTGCTGCTGTCCCGGCTGCTGCTGCTGCTGCTGCTGTCCCTGCTGAGTCACACCCTGCAGCTGTTTCCGTCTCTGATGTCGTTGCTGCATCTGCAACCTTCTCAACTGGCGGCGTCGCTTCTGCCCCAACTTCACACGCTGTTGTTCATCCCGCATTTCCCCGCTGTGGTCCTCTGGGTTATCCACAATGGTCGATTCTTGTGTATCAGGTACTGGGGTATGGTTTGTATGGCCCGTTGCCTCTGAGTCCGCCCCTGTTCCTTCCTCCACCACAGCCGCTGGCCTCTGATCCCTATTTCTTGGTTCGGGAGCCACTTGTCTTTGCTGACGAACGTGTTGCATCCGCCTCAGTCTAAAACGAACCACATTGTCACCATTGTTTTGCGAGGCATCACCAGGTGTGGGATTGTTGTGGTCAAATCCCATCTCACCCGCCACTCCACCGCTCCCTGCTGCTCCTCCCCTTCCCGCCCCGCTCCCTGCTCCTCCCCTCCCTACCCCGCTCTCAGCTGCTCCTCCCCTCACCGCCCCACTCCCTGCTGCTCCTCCCATCCCGGCCCCGCTCACTGCTCCTCCCCTCTCCCCCCCACTCCCTGCTACTCCTCCCCTTCCCCCCCCCGCTCGCTGCTGCACCTCCCCTCCCTGCCCCGCTCCCTGCTGCACCTCCCCTCCCTACCCCGCTCCCTGCTGCTCCTCCCCTCCCTGCCCCGCTCCCTGCTGCTCCTCCCCTCCTTGTCCCGCTCTCGGATGCTCTTCCCCTCCCTGCCCCGCTCTCGGATGCTCCTCCCCTCCCTGCCCCGCTCTCGAATTCTCCTCCCCTCCCTGCCCCGCTCTCGGATGCTCCTCCCCTCCCTGCCCCGCTCCCTGTTGCTCCCCCCCTCACCGCCCCACTGCTCCCTGCTCCTCCCCTCCCGGCCCCGCTCCCTGCTCCTCCCCTCCCGGCCCCGCTCCCTGCTCCTCCCCTCCCCGCCCCACTCCCTGCTCCTCCCCTCCCCGCCCCACTCCCTGCTCCTCCCCTCCCCGCCCCACTCCCTGCTCCTCCCCTCCCCGCCCCACTCCCTGCTCCTCCCCTCCCTGTCACGATCTCGGCTGCTCCTGCCCTTCCCGCCCCGCTCTCTGCTCCTGGCCTCCCTGCCCCGCTCCCTGCTGCTCCTCCCCTCCACGTCCCACTCCCTGCTCCTCCCCTCCCTGTCACGATCCCAGCTGCTCCTGCCCTTCCCGCCCCACTCTCTGCTCCTGCCGTCCCCGCCCCACTCTCTGCTGCTCCTCTCCTCCATGCCCCACCCCCTCCTGCTCCTCCCCTTCCTGCTTTGCTCTCGGACGCTCCTCCCCGCTCCCCCAATCCACCACTCTCGGATACACCTCCCCTCTCCCCCAATCCCCCACTCTCAGCTGCTGTTGGATTTGATAACCCCACACCCCCCGAGCGCATGTTTCCGTTGGTTCCTGAGGTGCTGAGTCTGTTAAATGCCTCGCCAAATACTTCACGGAGTACTGTTGGGACTGCCTGTTGGACACCAGCACCTGCATCCATCGGCTTCTCTTCTCTCTCCCCCTCCGAATCTGAACTGACGTCCTCCTCCTCGTCCGATACCTCAACACCTTCATTCTCACCACCTGCTGCGTGAGTTGCGCTACCGTCCGCCACCCCCACCCCATTCTGTGGCTGTTCATGTCCACGAGGTTGCCTCCTAGGCTCACAGAGTACATCCCTGTGGTGCCTTATATTGCATGCACCACACATCGCCACATTCACTCGAGCCTCTGCTTGCGTAGCTGTTTGCACACTCATGTGCCCTTCCGGAGTGTGAAGTGCCTCCCACGCGTCCCTCAATTGTTTGCGCAAATCACAAGTCTTTCTATTGTGCCCTTTCTCCCCACACTTCCCACATCTACGCAACTTCCTCCCATCAATCTCACCATGGGACCTCAACCGAGTGTTGTGTGGCCTCCCCGATTTCTTTGGGTATATTGGTGCCTCTATTGTTGTATCTAGAACGACCTCAGTGCGGTCAAGAGTGCGAATCTGCGTGCTGTAGAGCTCCTTCAATGCGTCCGAAGTGTAACACCTGTGGATCATGGCTTGAACCACATGTTGGACGTCCGCAAACCCGTTGCCACGTGCCGGCCTGATGCTGTGGACCAGTACCGCAAACATGTGCATACATGGCAGCCCATACTCTCTGCAATTGTACGGGGAAATCAAATGGGTGTCAAACGGATGTCAAGTTCCATCAAAGGACAAACATCAGGAGAAAGCCCGAAGGAAGATAAAGGTTATGCATGTACCGACAATCCTAACACCAGGTGCAAAATGTTTCCCACAGGTATTTCAAGGATTAGCCTAAACACAAAACTCACCTCAAATAATTACACGTGCACTGCGCCATCTCTGGCTTCGCAGCCTCCAACACCACCACACGCTCCTCCTTGGCTCCAGTGTCATGGCTCACATGGTATGAACTTCTGCCAGTCTTCTCCACTTTGTACTGAGTTCCCATTTGACAATTAGCACGAATGATACCTGCTGTTTTGGGGGGGGGATAAGCTACCCCGAGATTCCCATACAGCTCACGACCCTCTTGCATTGCATTCGCTTGCTGTGTGATGAATGCAAGCAAAACTTGTGCTGGATTGTCCCTCCTCCACTTGTGCATAGATGCATGATGCGACTCCACCGGGTTTGAAGTATAGCACCCATAACGTGACGTATTAAACAGAAAGGTAGCCCAATGTGCGGCTAATCCATCCCTCTCCAAGTATTGCTTCCCCCCTGGGCACTCTTCCTCGATTTTGTCCATGTAGCCCCGCAGCACATCTCTGGTCAATGCTGCAGCCGCGAGCTCGATCTTGTCATCACAGTCAGAACCAAACTTAGAATTAAAATTCCTCACCAAGTGTGTGATACAAAATGCCTCACGTGCCCCTGGCAGCACTCTGGCAGCGGCCGCTTTCCATGCTTTCCCACAATCATGCATCAATGTAAACCTCGGAGTGTTGATCTCAGGGACAGCTACCTTCAGCTGGCTCAGAAAATACTCACACGAATCCGCACTCTCGCCTTCTACCCACGCACTCCCTAACCTCACCAACTTATGTTCGCTGTCAATCATGCATGCATTCAAAGTATGGCCTCGCCATTTACCTTTGTTGTGACATCCATCTACAAATACGATCGGAAAGCAATTTTTAACTATCTCACGGACTCCAGGGTAAATCACTGCAGCACGATGGAACCTATTCTCATTCAGCATCAGTGACACAACGCTTGATGGGTTATGTCGCTTGAAAACATCTAGGATGCTACCAATGTACTGGAAACCTGACTCTCCACCTAGAGGATCCTCTCGAGTGACATCATCTATTGACCGGCCACACGTAGCATTGCAGCAGTCGACGCCTAACTTTTCCCGCACCATGTGTCGTAGTCCACTAGGAGTAATGTCTGTATGAGGATGTACTTCACGCACCACTTGATTAACCTGTTCCCTCCTAGTACGACCAGGGCGTGGCACACACGTGTGTGCATGCTGCAGCGCCACAGATCTCACACTAAAGCTGCAATTTCGAGGCCCGGTAGCTACAATCCGAAACGGACGAAACCCCTCTGGTGCTTTGGCCTCATTCTTGGGCCAGTCTTTTCCTTTCATAGAAGGGCAACGCGCGTCAAGGCGTTCTGGCCTGTTGTCCTTATACCACGGCTTGAAGTTGAACTTATCACCATATTTCTCTATCTCGACTCTAGCAGCGCTTACGGATGAATATATTTTCCCTTGGTAAATGTTGATCTCCTCCGTATGTTGTCCAAGAAATGCCCTGTTTAAAGAACACATAATCGCAGAGGTAATGGAATCATATGTAAGTAGTTTGATGCAACCCAAACAAGGAACGTGCTGCAATACAGGACATATCCCATACATAACATCAGTGAGATCACCTTGAAAGGGAACTTCTGAACATTGTGCACACATGGTCTCTGTCTACACAATAGTTTGCGAGTGATGAAGGTATGGAAAAAGAAGATTAGAGACACGTGAAGGATAGATAAGAAAAGGGTGGATTATATTCAAAAGCAGCGCTTAAATAATGTGGATGAAACACATGTGCGAGGTGACTGAAGCTTAGCATTCTGTAAAGACCAATGCAAGGAGTCCGTAACAGGCGCGAGTAATCATACGGAAGGAAAGTCCTAGGGGACAATCAGATTATGCAAGTCGCCTACGATGATATGATAAGCGGATCAGAATTAAGCCAACATACCATCGACCGCAAGGATCGGAGAAGATAAATGAAGGGTGCACATATCAAAAGATCCAGAACGCATATCCTGGATTGCTAGCCAATAAAACATTATCCGAGAGAAGGTGATGCTCCTACTGCTGGATATGGTATAGCCAAATATTCGGGAAAAACTCATGGCGCCTATGCTGATTTAAGATTGCTAGCGGGAACCTACGAGGTAACTTATCACGGAGTTTTACATTGTGACTTCTCGCAAACCCTAATCTATGAAGGAGCCAACATAACTTGAGACGAAGGGACTCAAAAGATCTGACGGAGTGCTACTCCGTTTCCGTCTGCCTTGCTGGCCTGTGTTTCGAATTTTGGGCGCGAAACAGTAGCCTTGCAGATTTCGGAACAGTGTGGCAGCCGAGCCACCCAGATAGTGGATTCGATTTGGCAGAAGAGACAGAAAACAGTTGCGCACAGTTGGTCAGTTGTCTAGTACAGTAGATGGCATGGAAACTGGTGACACGTGGGTGAATGTTGGGAAGAGTACTCTCCTGTTTCTATAATTTTACTGTCTGAGGCACGGAGGGGTGGAAAGTGCCCTCTGCTAGCACTGTAGTCCCCTTCAAAGCGCGGGGTCCCTAGTAGTACCCCTGCCAAAGCTACTTACCCGAGATCAATCGCATGTTTTGTTTTTGTGAGCTGTTTTGCGTAAGTCAAGCGTGTAAACATCCGAGCGCGAGTTTCGAAACTGAGTCTTTCGTCTTCGCCAATTGCTGGTTGAAGGTTTGAATTCACCTTGGGCAGAGACGGAGAATTTTGCTCAATTCCGCGGAAGCGCGGTTTAGCTTATTTTTGCCACGTGGCGAGCCTTTGATCGCATGAACCGCGATCTGTTTTATTGTTATCACAAACTTCAAGCAAATTACAGACTACAAACTACAGTTTTTTGTAAACCCTCTTCGGTAAACTTTGTTTGTGATAACAATAAAACAGATCGCGGTTCACGCGATCGAATGCATGCCACGCGGCAATAATAAAACAAACCGCGACTCCACGGGATTGAGCAAAACTCTCGCAGAGACGCGTGCCACGGGGCGAGCTGGGACGCCCTGGCACACCCGGGACGCCTCGGTGCACCGGGTCTGGACCCGTTCCGCACCACGTCACGAACTCAACACAGCCGAAGGCACTCCTTGGTGTTCCGATATGGGGCATTCCAAGTATCACGACATCCATATTAACAAACTTTAGGTTGCCCATTGAATTAGTACTTTATCATAATCTACACTAACCTAAAAGAGCGGCTGAAAAGAACAGCTGCACTGGCAATCAAGCTAACCTCTCAATCTCGCGGCGATGACACGTGGAACAGACGATTCTGCTCTTCAGTGCAGATTAGGATGAAAATCATAGTAGAATGCAATGTACTTTGTATATGCTATTTTATTGCCTTCCATAATATTGGTATCGTACTAATAGCAAATTGATGTAGTTTCCTTTAACACATTAAAAAAAACAGCACAAACAAAACAAACGTGATTATATTTGAGTGAAGTGTTTGGAGGAAAAACTAATTTATACACCAATTTATAAATGTTTGAACAACACACCAATTTATACCTCTCCACATGTCAGTGTGTAGGACATGAACTTTCTGCTTTGTACCCTTGGAGCTCCTGTTCAGTAAACGATGGAGCTGTTAGGGGTAGGTTGAGGAGGTTCTCAAACGAGGTCGCCTTTAACGCAGACCCCCACCTCCACCCTTGCCTCCTCCGCTCACGCCCCTTCCCCGCATTTGTTGCTGGGGCAGTCGCAATCATTGAATTTAGATGCCTTTCATGCTCCGCGAATCGCTGCTGCGCTTCGACAAGCTCCAGCGCCGCGACTCGAATGCGGCATCGCGCATCGTCCACCCACCCTGGGTCGCAAGCGCGCGCCGCGTCCAAGCATCCGCATAAGGCCTCCGAGTCTCGTGAATCGCAGCTTGAAACGAGGCTGATGCCGCACTGACAGCTAGACGAGGATCCGTTCATGCTGCCATCGTTGCTGAAGTCGCAATTTCTGGGCTCGCGTGCGAAAGCGCTATAAGAAGTCTGGGGAGAGGAGCCCTGCGACGAAGCGTCACAGTCATTTTCAGAGTTGACATCGCCGTAATAGTAGTAGGCGTCGCAAAAGACATGTCTTCCGCTGGGCTGCGCGGCCTCCCGCGAAAACTCTACGTCAAATTGTAATCTCGATGACGCAGCCTCTTCCGCCGCCGCGAGTTGAGAGCACGATGCAGACTCGCGAAGGCCGGCCCCACCCTCCCCGCCGCGTCTCCCCGTGGTGCTAGCAGAAATATCCGCAGTAGATGATGCCATAGTGGGAAACAGAGGACGCCATCCCATGATGCTTTTAACGAGGCGCGTCGGGGAAAGGGGTTGCACTTTCATGTGGGAACGCTGGGGCGACGGACTGGCAGCAACAGCACGTCCCATGCTTAGATATCTCGCGCCGGTGACTGGAGTGAGAGTGGCGCGCGTGGCGTAAGCCACGGCAGTGGCCGGTCTGGTTCTGCTAATTGTGCGAAACGTAGACGCGGAGGACAAGGGTGCGCCTCTCTTAGGAAAGGACCCTCGTGACGAGGTGCTGAGGCGATGGTTCTGGTGCGGAGCAGAAACGAGGTTGTCCGAACATACGAGTTACAATGT